TTCCGCGCCGCGAGGAAGCACCACGCCGTGCTGTAGCCGCGCTCCGCGCCGCGGTGGAGCCTCACGCCGCGGCGCTGAATCTTTTTAATTTTGAAAACTGTTCGCGTTAAAAGAGGATCGCGAGGGTTTTGAGAATCATTCGACACTTTTCTTTTCTCTCTGGTTTTTATCAGACAAAAACGGGTTCTCTTCAGCTTTTGCTTATTTTTGAGATTTTTGGGAGTGACACCCAAGGATTTTGATCGTAGATTCAGACTGTGCTTGAGATTGACACTCTTTATTTATCTATCGTAAGTTTTCTTCTCATTTGACTATGAGTTTGGAATATTTACTGTATACAATATTTGGTGTTCGTTTCAGCATGAGTGGCTAAATCTTTAAGCTAGGGATAGGGGGTGATTACTCATACTCGTGTGCTTATTGTGCTGATGAATTTCGTTCAATCTATTCGAGTTGATTTAAACCTAGGGTTAGATGCTTGATCACCATTCTGATCTAATTAATCGACTTGTAGAACCGAAAGGGGAGAAGTCGGTCGATCTAGGCTCGTCTAGAGTAGGCTTGTTCGTAATTGTATTGCCTACATGTTAATTGATTGGGTTGATTTGCCGTCTATATTTTTCTTCTTGTTACGAGATGTTATTGAGGAATAATTGCTAGATGCGTAAGTCAATTGAATCATTTAGCCGAACGTATTCTACTCGGCATTTGAATTTGATTTGAGTATAATCATCCTCGATTCCCTAGCCTTCGTACGTAGAAGGAACTCGTTTTAAGTTTTGATAATTGTTTATTTGCGCTGTTCGAAAATTAGTAGTTGATAATTAAAAACCAAAATCATTGAATTAGAGTGTTTAGGAATTTATTTGCTTTTTCGTGTGATAGAATATCCGTACAAATAATCCGGCTGACCTTCCTTGAGATACGACCCGGTGTTCGAATCTTTTGATTCTACTCCGGTAAAAATAACTACAACAGTAGATTTGCTGAAAAAACGTGTGGTTAGGTGGGGGTTGAATTGATTGTTTTATGGTGGGACCTATTGTGGTTAAAAGTTGGTGATAAAATGTCCATAATACCCTTAATGAAGGTATAATATTGACTTTTTATCAGCCATTAAATTGTTTTATCTAATGGTTGTGATTTATTCTTATTTATTTCACTGAACACCATTCTCAGCGGAATGCGACCCCATATATATATATATATGGATTAGTAATTTAAAATACTAGGCCTTAATAATAGGGGGTTATGGGCTGTAATCCGACTTGGCCTATCTAGGGTGACCGGGAAATACGAAATATGGTGAATGTGTTCTCCTCTACATTTTCTCTAAGTATCAACACTTGAACATAGAAAACACAAGATTTTTTCTGTTTTTGCAAAAATAATATTTAAATACATATTATATATTATATTTTAGATAACTTATATATGATCTATAAATATAATAATTACAATAAGGATTTAAAAAAACTTATATTTAACTTTTTTTGTTGGTAATAACGCATATAAATTAATAAATATAATTAATTAGTTATAATTTTTAATACACTAAGTGTATAATATAAATATAATTATCACTATTTATGTTATTTATATTCATAGTATATTTATTTTTTATACTTTCAGAATAATAATATAAACACTTTTTAACTTTTGTTGAATAAAGCAAGTGTATATTATGGAACAACAAATATATTTATGTAGTCTATACTTATATAATAAGGTGTACCATTTACTAAATTTAGTAAATTAAAAAGTCAATGCAATAAATGCATTACTATTTTGAGCAACATAATATAATTTTATATCTATACTTATATAAAAGGAGATTCTATTTACTACATTTACTATCCAAAAAAGTCAACTGCATTAAATGTCATTACTATTTTGGTATTATAATATTTTATTTATTTAATTAATTTATTTATTTATTTTATTTTAAAAAGGTAAGTATAATAAAAAGATTTTAATAATAAAAAATTCAAATACCAAATAAAAATATACACTTTGACTTATTTGATTATATTTGATATTTGATTATACCAAATATATTCCTATTTAGTATATACATTAAATACTTACTAAATTATTTATTTGTTTTATTTGTCAAAGTTAAGTATAGATTTGTTTATATTATCAAATCATAAAAAAATATTAAATCATATGGGAAAAAAACAAAAAATCATATAATTTTATAACAATTCTACTACACTATTTAACAATATTTCTTTTTTATTATATAATAAAATAATAATTAAATATTATATGGTGAACAACAATAAGTAAAACTGTTACTTTCTCTTATATCAAGGGATAAATTTATATGCTAAAATTTAATTTTTATTAGTATAAATGTTTTAGTAAGATAATATATTAATTATTTTACAAGCTAGCCCTAACATGCTCATATCTAATGTTTTAAAAGATGTAGAAAAAAACTTATAATAACTCTATTGTTTTTTAGACTTAAACGTTGATTAAAAGAGGTAAAAATTCTTAATTTTTTAGACTTAAACGTTGATTAACACCATAGATTGAGAGTCTATATTTAGTAAAATTCCTAATTGTAATAAAAAAATTATTTTTTGCTATATTTTAGAATATCTTTAAATTTATTATAAAAAAAAAGAAAAAAAAAATTACAATGAAGAAAGCAAGTCAGCTATATATCGATTTGTTGTACTCCTCAAAATCACATTCACAATTTGGCTACAAGGAAAAGAAACTCATTGATTAAATTATTATTTTGTCAGTAGTCTTAATGTACAAGAGACTTTAAGACTCCACGTGAATATTATAAAACTTTTATTGAACAGTGTACAATTTTCTTGGGTATTATAATCATAAACTTTTATTGAATATTGCATCTTATAATATAATATTCTCCAAATAAATATATCCCGTGCTTCGCACGGGTCACGTACTATATATATCCCGTACATTTTTCTTTATTCATGTATATAATTATAAGCCTGTATAAATAGCCTTAAAATTATGCACCCCGTGCATCGCACGGGCTCTGTACTAGTTTGAAAAAATAGCTTATTACTTTCGGGTTATCGGGTCTGTCTGTTCAGGTTTGGGTTGATTTGTTTCTGGTAGATCAAATTCAAGGTACGCTCCGCCAAAACTCCAATCAGCTGCACGACAACAACAATTTTGCGGAACCCTCGAAAAGCAGTACCCCACGCTTTAACAACTGTACATTTTCATACCCTCTCTCCGTCCCCTTGATACACTATAAATACAAACAATTGCTCGATTTTCCTCCCAACAACAGAAAATTGTGCTCGTATCGGTGGAAAAAAAGGTGACTAATTAATCTGTCTCCGCCTGTTATAGGGTTCGTCGATTGATTCGTCGCAGATTTTATTTTAAGTAATCATTGTAATGGAGGCGCCCATGGATGCTGCACCTGAGACGCAGCCGGAACCCTCCGTCACTGCGGCGGAGGAGGTTGAGGAGCAGCAAGAAGATGATGAAAATGATCTTTTGATGGCAAAAGCTCAGTCGTTGATTGATAAGATCACTTCGGACCCCGACAACCCTAGCCCCAAAGTGCTTCATGCTCTCTCCACTATTCTCGAGACTCAAGAATCCAGGTAGAACTGGTGTTGGTTGATAGTGGAATTTGTTTTTTGGTTGCTCAAACTAATATTTATCTAGGGATTTTTATTTTCCTGGTCTAATTGCCCTTGATTTGGTGTCGCGGGCGTTGAGTGGAATGAAAGTCTCTGGGTCGTGGTTCTGTTTTAGGGATTAGAGCTCATTTTGTGTAGTCTCATTCTTCCTTAAAGAAAACCGTTCTGCTAGCTGCCGTGGTTCTGTGGATGCAAAACAAGTTTGTATAGTTCAGCTATGGAATTAGAATTGGCCGGGTGGGTGTTGGGATTGTAAATTTTCCCCCTGTTTGTGTTACAGATGGAAAACATTTGATTTTCTGTGTATAAGACTGTGAACTCGTGGGGGAGATGAAAAATTATTATGTTTGAGAAATAGATTATAAATGGGAGCTTTCCTGCTTGTTTAAAAAGCGTAAGAGTATATTTTGTTTGTCCAAAATTTGGTTTTTTAGCATCACCTGGGATGTGTTTATGCTATAAGCACAAACACTTATCAGGGTCTTGGTTCTTTTATTTGCTGGTGGGAGTATTATTTAGTTATTTTGGATACTGTGAGCATTGGAAGATTATGTGAGCAGAAAAACTGGGGCACTTCTCTAAAGTATCTGCCGTCAAAAAGGCATTGTAGTACTTGGTCTGTTTTTGCAATTCTATAATTAAATTTGAAGAATTTTGGGACCTTTCTCTTACTATGTTTTTGCTTGCTGTATTTCTACCGATTATAGTTTGGGCCTGTTTCATATAACTGTGTTTTGATCTATTTGAGCTCTGTACTATTACTGGTTTTCTACTAATTCGTTATGATGTGAAAGTGGACATGCCAGAATGCGAAGTTTGGCCCAGTGGGTTATTATTATCATTTTGTTTTTCTGGTGGGGAACGGGTGTGGGATGGGGGCTGTGGCATGTGAGTTATATCGTAGCAGATCAGGTTGAGTTTCGTTTGGTCGTGAAGTGGATGTGGATTTAACCATTATGATGTATTGGCATGTTTGAGTTGGTAGGAATGTAGACTATGTGACAGAAAGCTTTACATCTGTTCTTGTTTGATGAATGGAGAGTCTGTAGAAAAGATCACATTCTTAATTTTTAAGCTTAATCTTGTAATTTTGGAACGTGCAGATACATGGAAGATGGAGATCACTCTTCAACAAATAATGGCAGGGCATCTCATAATATTGGACGACTTGGGAACCTTATTCGGGTAGTTGCTGACTTTCAATTTTGCACAATATTTTTCTTAAGATTTTCTGAAGTGTGGATAAGTTTTGGTGTCTGTTTCCAATGTACTGCAGACTAGGTTTTTACTTTGTGCTAGGCCATTTTGCTATGCCATAGGAATCATGTGTTAATGCATTGAGTGATTTCTATGTGTTTCTGGATGTGCGTAAGCTCACTTTTCGTACTAGTGTTCTACTGCTGATTATATGTTTCCATTTCTGCAGGAAAATGATGAATTCTTTGAATTGATATCTTCAAAATTTCTGACTGATAATAGATATTCCACATCTGTCCAAGCGGCCACGACAAGGCTTCTCGTCAGTTGTTCCTTAACTTGGACGGTATGGTAATAGCTAAAGCTGCTACTATCATCATCATCATCATCATCATCTTCGTTTATATTTCATTGTTTCTCTGTTGCTTACAGTTTTTATTGTTTTTTTCCTTTTTAGATATTTCATAGTACTTTCTTGCGACATAATTTTGATATAAGTGAATTGGAATACAGTATCCCCATGTTTTTGATGACGATGTTCTAGCTAACATAAGAGGCTGGGTGATGGAGGAGATACCCAGGTCATCTGCTGAGGATCGCAACTGGAAGCATGACATTGGGAGAAGAAAAACATTAGATTCTGAAATGTTGCGCACTTATGCCACTGGTCTTCTTGCTGTATGCTTGGCTTGGTATGTCCTCAAAATTTCCACTCCACTAATTCTCTTGGGTCTCACTTGTTATCTTCATTTATATCTCTCTTCTAAAATTTGTCTTTTGTATGTGGGTGATTCAGTGGTGGTCAACTAGTGGAAGATGTGTTAACTTCTGGACTGTCAGCTAAGTTAATGCGGTATCTACGCTTCCGTGTTTTGGGTGACCCAAACGCTAACCAGAAAGATGGTAATCCATTAGGTGATAACAAAAATGCATCAAACACTGCAATCCCCACCAAATTGAAGGAAGAAGGTAGGGTCAGGTTGCGGCCAGTGGCAGAAACTTCCGAAATTGATGTACCCAATAAAGATCCTGCTGTATTAGGTGACTCTGATAGGGATAATGACCGGTGTGCCAGTAGGCATGCATATGGGGATGAATGTTGGGTTGATGAGGAACCTCCTGATTCCATGGTGCTTGAGGTTGATGCCCATGAGGCAGGAGCAGATGGTGAAGACAAAACAAATATCAGAGTTTTTGGTGAGTCAAAGACCAAACCTTCTGGAAAGTCCCACAGGGAAGAAGAAGGTGATGAAAATATGAGAGATGAGTCTTCCAGACGAAGGCCAAATCGTGGATTGTCCAAATTTCGAGGAAAGGGTCGGTCTGGTGAAGGAGTAGCAGAGAATGAGCAAAATTTGACCTCTCCAGGTTCTGGCAGTAGGTCAGGACAGGCACGGAGTGCGAAAGACAGGAAATATCAAGATCCTAGAAAAGTTTCAGATGCTAAAAGGGGCATCGGTAGAATCAATACCGATTATTTTATCCCTGAAAGAGACGATAACGACGATTGCTTCCAAGAATGTAAAGTTGGTTCTAAAGACATCATTGATTTGGTAAAAAAAGCTGTCAGAGCTGCTGAAGCTGAAGCAAGAGCAGCCGAGGCTCCCATTTTAGCTATAAGAGCAGCCGGTGATGATGCTGCCGAATTGGTTAAGACTGCTGCAATGGAGGTGACCTCACTGTTGCTTCTTGTTTAGTGCATATTTCATATGAACATGTCATACCTATGTTTTCTGTATTTTCAGGAATACAAGAAAACAAAGGATGAAGAAGCTGCAGTGCTTGCTGCTTCAAGAGCTGCATCCACAGTAATAGATGCTGCGAACGCAGTTGCTCTCTCAAGGTTGGTATTTGTGTTCTTCATGAAATGCCTTTCTACTGATTGGCAATGTTTCCCGATGGTTATGTAATTATTACACCTAAAGTTTTTATTAACTTTTTGGTGGCTGTAGAAAATCAAGAAATGCCGATGATGATTCAGGAAACTCCAAGTCAACAGATCCAGAATCTATTGAAGATGTTCTGGAGTTCTCCATTCCTGACGCGCACTCCCTATCAAAGCTAAGAGAGAAATTCTGTATTCAGTGTCTTGTGATTCTGGGGGAATATGTCGAAGTTCTTGGTCCTGTACTTCATGAAAAGGGTGTTGATGTGTGTCTTGCTCTGCTGCTGAAAACTTCTAAGAATAAAGAGGCATCAAACAATGTGCCCCCTTTACCTGATATTCTGAAGTTAATCAGTGCATTAGCTGCTCATCGGAAGTTTGCTGCATTATTTGTGGATCGTGGTGGCATGCAGAGACTCCTTGCTGTACCCAGAAACGCCCATACCTTTTTTGGTCTCTCTTCCTGCTTATTTACAATTGGTTCAATTCAAGTAAGATTTTTTCCAATAGTCTTCAGTTGCTTTCATCTGCAATTTGATCTGATTTCCCTTTTTCTCATATATTATTCTTGTACTTGAAACTGTATTTGAAGTTGGTGTTTCCTAAAATATCACTTTTCAGGGGATAATGGAGCGTGTTTGTGCACTTCCTTCAAATATAGTCCACGAGGTTGTTGAGATGGCTCTCCAACTTCTTGCGTGTCCACTTGATCATCAGGCCAGAAAGAACGCTGCTTTGTTCTTTGCTGCTGCTTTCGTCTTCAGAGCTGTTATTGATGCATTTGACGAACAAGAAGGTTTGCAGAAACTACTCTCCCTTCTGCATGATGCCGCTTCAGTGAGGTCTGGCGTGCCACCTGGGTCATCGAGTAATGGGGGAGCACTTAGAAATGATCGATCTCCTGCAGAGGTACTGACCTCTTCTGAGAAACAGATAGCCTATCATACATGTGTGGCACTGAGGCAATATTTCCGAGCTCATCTCCATTTGCTCGTGGATTCTATTCGACCCTCCAAAAACATTCGGAGTGCGCCCAGAAACATTTCGAGGGCGGGCTACAAACCGCTCGACTTAAGCAATGAGGCAATGGATACCGTATTTCGTCAGATACAGAAGGATCGGAAACTTGGTCCCGCGCTCGTGAGGGCACGTTGGCCTGTGGTTGACAAGTTCTTGAGCTCAAATGGTCATGTCACCATGTTAGAGCTGTGTCAGGTGCATATTTTTTATTTATTTATTTATTATTTTCTTTATTGTTTCTGGGTTACTCATTTTCTCTCACCTCTGTTGTATTGATATTATGAGTTCTACATTTTTAGGCTCCAGCGGTCGAACGCTATTTGCATGATTTACTTCAATATGCGCTTGGTATTTTGCATATTGTGACTCTGGTTCCTTATAGTCGCAAACCTATTGTGAATGCCACTCTTAGCAATGATAGAGTGGGTATAGCTGTTATTTTGGATGCAGCAAATGGTGCTGGTCATGTTGAGCCTGAGGTAAAATGCGAACCTGTTTTCTCACTGAAATTTTTCCCCTTAATAACTTTTTTGAATATTTAATTGTCAAAAATCTCAGATTGTCGAGCCGGCGCTGAATCTTTTGATAAATCTCGTCTGCCCTCCTCCGTCGATAAGCAATAAACCAAGTCAAGGTCAACAAACTTCTTCCCAAACTGGAAACCAAGTCTCAGAGAGAGCTCCTCCAAATCTTCCTAACCAGAACGAACCTAGGGAACGAGAACCAGCTTCTGTGGATAGAGGCAACTCATCTGTAGTGACATCATCCTCTGTTGGTAATGCATCCTCGCAAACATCTGCATCTGCAGTTGCCTCTGGTTTAGTCGGAGATCGTAGAATATCTTTAGGTGGGGGTGCGGGTGGTGCTGGGCTTGCTGCACAACTGGAACAAGGGTATCACCAAGCTAGGGAAGCTGTTCGAGCAAACAACGGCATAAAAATCCTTCTTCAGCTTCTTCAGCCTCGGATGGTGACATCCCCTGCTGCCCTTGACTGCCTACGTGCTCTCACGTGCCGAGTTCTTCTTGGTTTAGCCAGAGACGATACAATTGCACACATACTGACAAAGCTTCAGGTCCGCAACAGCTTGATGTACCATTTTATGTTGTTTATGAACAATCTCTGTGAAGGATTTGTGTGTATTTATTTGTTCATATGCCAATTTGGCATCTCGTTTCAGGTGGGAAAAAAACTTTCAGAACTTATTCGAGATTCGGGAAGCCAAACCCCCGGTGGTGAGCAGAACAGGTGGCAGGCAGAGCTCGCCCAAGTGACTATTGAGTTGATTGGGGTAAGCACTAATATATTTGATCATCATTAGATGATGAGAGGGGAGTTTAAGCTTATTTGCTGTGAATGCAGTTTCTTTCTATGAAGTTACATACATTAAGTGTGTGGTGTCTGCAAGTCAAATTGCTGATGTCATTAGTGTGAAAATTTATTATCTGTGGAACTTTATTTTGGTGAAGTATCAAATTTGCTCCAGTCACATGATTTATATAACCCATCTTAATGATTGATCGTCACTATTTTTCTAATTTGAAGGTTGTGACTAATTCTGGACGTGCAAGTACTCTTGCAGCCAGTGATGCAGCTACCCCAACTTTGAGGCGTATCGAGAGAGCTGCTATAGCTGCAGCTACTCCTATTTCGTACCATTCTAGGTATTTTTTGTCGATTTTCGTTCTTGAACAGTCATTCATGCTGATTTTATTTTGATTATACTCACTATATGCACCTTTGCTTAAAAAATTAGGGAACTTTTGCTCCTGATCCATGAGCACCTACAAGCATCTGGCTTAGCAGAAAGTGCAGGTGCACTTCTCAGAGAGGCAAAGTTGACACCATTACAAGCCTTAGCTGCACCATCATCTTTGGCACATCAAGCCTCCGAACTAGAACCTTCGGCGGTGCAAATCCAATGGCCATCTGGACGTGCGCCCTTTACCTTCTTGTCAGATAAATTAAAAGTTCCCCTTAATCAGGAGGATCCTAGCTCAAGATCCAATTCAGTTGCCTTGTCCGTGAAGAAGAAATCATTAACATGCTCAGATGCACACGGTTTCTCAAAAACAAGAATTGAAGACAGTCCTGTACCATCAAGCAGCAAAACAAATCTAAATTCACCCAAAGTGTCGGTGGCTGCCGAAGTTTTAGGAACCCCGACATTTTCTTCTTTGAAATCTGGTGGGGAGACGGATACCCAGACAAGAACTCCCATAGTTTTGCCTTTAAAACGGAAATTTTACGATGCAAAAGAAAGTGGGCCGGCTTCATCGGCAAAACGACTCAACACAGGCGAGCACACTCTTAAATCTCCCGGTTTTTCCACACCAAGTACCATATGTAGGAATAATAATCTGCAGTCAGATGCACACCTATTTGCCACACCAATTTCTACTCGGTCAGTACCAAATATCCAGACATCTTCCGATATCGACGAAAACCCGTTGACCGGTCAACCTACTCCCTCTCAACCTGGGCTTCTGTCCGAATCCCAGCCCTCGGCCCCCGAACGCCTCACCTTGGATTCCATCGTCATCCAGTATTTGAAACACCAGCATCGCCAGTGCCCGGCTCCAATTACGACTTTACCCCCACTCTCGCTTTTGCATCCTCACGTCTGTCCTGAACCGAAAAGAAGCCTCGATGCCCCGTCAAACGTCACTGCACGCCTCAGCACTCGCGAATACAGAAACATGTACGGTGGGATTCACGGGCGCCGCAAGGACCGCCAATTCGTGTACAGCCGATTCAGACCTTGGAGAACTTGCAGGGACGACAATAGTTCGCTCTTCACCTGTATTGCTTTTCTTAAGGACTCGTCACATGTTGCTGTCGGTGGTCATACTGGGGAGCTGAGAGTGTTCGACTCTAACAACAATACAATCTTGGAGAGCTGCACAAGCCACCAGTCCCCTCTCACTCTTGTTCAGACGCACTTTTCTGGGGATGATCATCTCGTCCTGTCGTCAAGCTCCATGGACGTTCGATTATGGGACGCGTCTTCGATTTCTGGTGGGCCCAAGCACTCGTTTGAGGGTATTAAAGCCGCGCGGTTCAGTAATTCGGGCTCGAAGTTTGCTGCATTGCGGGCCGACTCGCCTCGCCGGGAGATTCTTCTGTACGATGTGCATACGTATCAGCTGGAGACGACGCTGATGGATACGTCGAGCAATGTGTCGGGCCGTGGGCAGGCGTACTCTCTGGTTCACTTCAGCCCGTGCGACTTGAGGCTTCTTTGGAATGGAGTTTTGTGGGACCATAGGAGCCCAGACCCGATACATCGGTTTGATCAGTTTACTGACTATGGCGGTGGGGGATTTCATCCTGCTGGGAATGAGGTATGTGTACTGTCAAGTAGTGTACCTGAATATGAGGGTTGGTTATAAAACTCTTCTGGCGTTTACTTTAGTTAATTAAAATATTGGGGTTTTACTACTTTAGTTAATTAAATTATTGGTTTTATCTGGCAAATTTATGACCATTTATAGCAATTGAAAACCTACAAAAAAATCTATCCGCATCACTAGTTAGGGTATGTTTGTATATAAAAAATTCTCAATCCATATTCAATTTATACTTAAAATCTAACTCAACTTTAACTCAATTATACTATCCTCAATATTATCAATATAATTAAATAATACCAACCAATCATTGCTATACATCACATCAATTTTAATTTACTATTCATCCACTCATATAATTTTAACTAACCATCACTTCACATCATCTCTAATCAAATCAATTTTAATTATTTTATTTCAAATATTATTTTAATATAAAATCAAAATCCCACTAACAACTAACCATACCACTCTGGTAAACCAAAAAAACTCATTTTGAGCGGATATATTTGTATACAAACACGTAGTTACCCTAGCAAAAAACTTTGGATTGTTCCAAAGTGGTAATTTGCAAATAACACTCCCCGATGCTCATACTTGTTGTCTACTTCATTTCTCTCTACAGTTTTGTCATTCGAAATTTTTTCAGCAGGTTATCATAAACTCGGAGGTGTGGGACCTACGCAACTTCCGGCTCCTACGGAGCGTCCCGTCGCTCGACCAGACAACCATCACGTTCAATGCCGGGGGAGACGTCATCTACGCCACCCTGAGGCGCAACCTCGAGGACGTGACTTCCGCATTCAACGGTCGGCGCGTGAAGCACCCCCTCTTCTCCGCCTTCCGCACGGTTGACGCCGTCAACTACTCGGACATTGCCACAATCCCCGTCGATCGATGCGTGCTCGATTTCGCCACCGAGCCCACCGACTCCTTTGTGGGCATTGTCACCATGGATGACCAAGATGAGATGTACTCGTCCGCTCGGGTTTTCGAGATCGGCCGGCGCAAGCCGACCGACGATGACTCGGACCCAGACGATGCGGAGAGCGAGGAGGAAGGTGACGAGGATGATGAGGAGGATGATGAAGATGATGATGACGGGGATTCGATTTTGGAAGGGGAGATGGATGGGGATGATATGAGCGATGATGATGATATTCCGAGCGAGTTTGATGATGGCGAGGATGATAGGGATTTCTTGATCGATGATGTGGACTTTGGTGATGGGATTTTGGAGATTGTGACTGAGGGTGACGAGGATGAGGATGATGACGATGATGATGATGTGATTGAGTCGTATAGCAGTGAGGATGAGGATGATTTGTTGTGAGTTTGAGTATCACGATGAGTTAGAGAAATAAGATGGTGTTTTTTTTTTCCCTTTTTTTTTGGTAACTTTTGTTTTTTAATCTTCTCGGTATTGGGGAGGAAGGAGATGGGTTGTGAGATGTGATTATAGGTGACTTGTCTTTTCTTTATTTATCGAGACATGTTTCTGAGGGAAGGAAGGCGATTCATGTTATTAAACCAAAAGATGTCTGGAAAAATGTACTTGAGAAAATTTTGGTCCGAATGTTGAGATTTGCTGTGTTTCTTTCTTCCTGTATCTCCATTTTCTTGATCATTTTGTTGGTGCAGCTTCGGTTGACTCGAGTGCCCATCTGGGCTATTGGTAGAATTATCTTATATCTGTAGGCATCCACAAGTGGCGTTGAAAATGGATTTCAGTGCATAAACGTGGCTGTCTATTCCATTTTTCCTTGATTGTGTTGCATGCTCTGTATTTTGTTTGGGCAATCATAACGTGCACTGAAGATGGTATGTACGGTTCTTTTGTTTGAACAACCACAATGTGCAGTGCAGATGGTATGTACGTACTGTTCTTGGTGGGTCACGTGGATGTGGTCCAAGTTATTATTTGTCACCTGTTTCACAAGTACTGTTCTTGGTGGGTCACGTGGATGTGGTCCAAGTTATTATTTGTCACCTGTTTCACAAGTACTGTTCTTGGTGGGTCACGTGGATGTGGTCCAAGTTATTATTTGTCACCTGTTTCACAAGACGTGTTTTGAAGGTGACATCTATGTTTGGTAAACTACCAAAACTAGTTTTTTTATGCTATGATTGGTAAACTATCCAAACTTAACTGATAATCGAGTTTATAGCTTTTAAATAAATTTTGAGTGTATAACTGATAATTTATAATATGTGGTTGAAAAACTAGCTTATATGATAAAAGTGTAGTAAAATTAACTCATAAGTGGGCTGAAATAAAAATTTCAATAGGTTTATTTGAAAAAAAAATTTTAGCCATTTTGAAATGCAAAACATTAATTTTGGCCATGTTTGGTAAAAATATATTTTTTAGCCATTTTGCTACTTAAAAAGACAATAATACCCTTGTTTTCTATTTTAAAAAAATCATAAAATTACAAAAAAAAAGCCAAACAACAAACAAAAATCCTAAATATCATTCTCTTCTCCCAGTCTATCTCGCTCATGCATTCACTTCCTCTCTCTCCCCTCATCTCTCTTCTCCCAATCTATTACTCTCTTCTCCTCCCAATCCCATTCTCTCAATTTTCTTTAAATTCCAGCATCATTCCGGTGAAATTACGATGGCATCTTGAAAGTATTCATCTATAAAATATGTTTATAATTTACCATGTTTTCTTTTAATGGGTCAATTTTGTACACAATTTTTTTTTTTAATTCAAAAAATTATATCAAAAAGTCATTATCATCAAATTATCCTAAAAATATTGCCAAAAAATAAAAAATAAAAAAAGTTGATCCCAGAAATCTTTTCTGGGATCCCATAAATGAACGATTTCTAGAAATGATTTTTGGGATCCCAAGAAATGATTTTTGGATGTACACCATTTTTGGGATCCCGGAAACGGTTCATGGGTCCCAGTAACCATTTCTGGGATCCTAAAAACAGTTTTTGGTCTCAAAAATTATTTTTGGGATCCCAAAAATCGTTTTTGGGACATAATTTCTGGGATCCTAGAAACAATTTCTGTGATCTCATAAATGGTTAAAATATCCCAAAAATGGTTTCTGGGATCCCAGATATGGATCTAAGGAACGCCGCTAACCGTCCTTTGAGGCTTTTAACTCTTTTTATCGAGCTCAGTGGCTTAAGGTCTTGGATGGCTTTAATTTTCTCGGGGTTGGTTTCTATTCCCCTTTGGCTATCAATATAACCGAGGAACTTTCCCAAGCTGACCCTAGATGTGCATTTTTTCAGATTTAAACCATCGAATAATCCTGCAAAATAGAAAACATTTTATTAAGGTCGGTTATATGGTCACGTGCATACAAAGATTTAACCAACATATCATCCACATAAACCTCTAGTACATCTCCTATCAAGCTAGCAAACATCTTGTTGACGAGCTTAGTAGGTCACACTCACATTCTTCAATCCGAATGACATCATTTTATAACAATAAAGTTCTCAGAGAGAGAGGTGTTTTCTTCGTCATTCGGGTCCATCGGGATCTGATTGTAGCCTGAGTAGCATCCATTAAGCTCATCAATTTATGACCCGAAGTTGCGTCCGCTATATAATCAATGGGTGGGAGGGGATAGCTATCCTTTGGGTACGCCTTATTTAGGTCGGAGAAATCTATGCACAGATGCCACAATCCAATATTCTCTTTTACCAAGACCGGATTTGAGCCCAGGTCAGGTAGCGAACCTCTTAGACGAATTGATTGTCAACCAGCTTTATCATTTTTTCTTTCAGGACTTGTTTCTTGTCTAGTCCAAGCTTTCTCCTCTTTTGTATCATCGGTCTGACAGTACGGTCGATCTGCAGCTTGTGGCAGACTACTTTCAGATATATTAATGAATTAAAGGATAAATATAACAATTATATCAATGAATTTTAATGAAGAGAATACATGCTCATATAATATGATCAATAAATTTTCTTAGAATACATGTTGAGATATAATATGACAGATAAATTTTTTAGCATATTGAACAAACCAATAAATTTTTTTATGTATACATTAGCAATTTGAAGAATTAATTATCTTTTCTCTTTCAATTATTGTACCAACTATGTAACTATTACACAATGGATGAGATTGCAATTCCAAAAACTCCAAACGCATTTTTTGGGATCCAACAAATATGCGTTTTGTTGATGGTTGATGAGAGAACGCAATATGAATATTCATTTGGCGCTCGGTTAGATAAATTTTCCTCGTCCATTTTCTGTTTTCCTCCCCCGTTTTGGGTTTTAGAATTCGGTTGGAGCTACTAACATGCAAAATCCACATCAATCATATACTGGAGAACTTTTCCAAAGATGGACAAAAATTATAACTTACACTAGGTGCCCGTTGGTTTCACTAATTATTTTGTTTACTTTTCATGCATATGGATATCCGTCCCATTAGGCCATTAACATGTTCATTTAAGTTTAGGGTGTTAATATTCAGCGTCCCCTTATTACAACAACCGTTTTATCCATGACATTTTTTTAAAAAGTAAAAAAAAAAAAGAATATCGCCGCCA